AGTATTTGAATGTCCGTTTTGCACCAGGCACTGTGCTGGGCCCTAGGGATTTCACAGCAAAGAAGACAGACAAGCTCTCAATCCTTGTGGCTCTCGGAGTCTAGTTGAGGGAGTTATAATAATGGAGTAAATAAATACTCAGGTTGTTATAGATGTGATAAATGATATGAAGGGGACAGGGTGATGTAATAGAGTCAGCTACTTAAGTGATATTGAGCAAAACCTGCAGAATGAGAATGAGCAAACCACGGGAAGAGCTGTTAATGGCATCAGGCAGAGGGAACGTTGAGCAGAAAGGTCTGGAGATGTGAAAAATATTGTGATTTAGGAACAGAGAATAGTATAGTGTCCAAGAGGGACAGACGTACAAGACGAGGTCAGAGAGGCGGATAGAGACCATCTCACATGGGCTGTATGGGTCATGGCAGGGAGTTTCAGATTTTATTCCAGTCAGACTGGGAAGCAATAAAAATGGTTAAGACTTGTACAGGACTCATGTGTTTAAAAGACCAGTCTGGTTACTGCATAGTGAGGGGATCATAGGAAACAAGGATGGAAAGTAGGGAGGCCAGGGTTGTCGTAAGGATTACCTACAATGACAGATGGAAGCTAATGGTCACAATCCCTGACATGTGTCAGTTCTGTATGAATGTAAAGTTAGCTGTTGTTCTGGAAAATCCAAGCCTGTCTTCTCTGGTACAGAGACACTAGCTTAATGTGGCTGTTGAGTATTTGAAACGTAACTAGTGTAATCATGCAAACCTCATTTTATTTCATCTTAATTAAGTTTACATTTTAAAACTGGTATTTGACTCAGTCATTGGGAAGTATACTTGAAAAACCTGGCTATATGAATCTACTTTTTCAACTGTAGATTTTATGAAATCTGAGTACTAATTCAAGTATTTTTGATGGAAATGTAATGTCCAAATTGAGATGTGTTATAACAGTAAATGCACACAGTGATCCCAAAGACTCAGAAGGAAAAAGAAAATGTAAAATAGTCTCTTAATAATTTTTGTATTGATTATATGTTCAAATTTTGGACAGATTGGCTTAAATTATTTAAATTAATTTTGCTTATTTTACTGTTTTTAATGCTGCTACTAGAAATTTTAAATCATACATGTTACAAGTCCAAGCTCATATTGCTTGCTGTTTGACAGGCCAGTAAATTGAGAGATAAGTCGTTGGGGCAAGGAACAGTGATTTTATTTGGAAAGCAACCAGATTGAGAAGGTGGTGGACTAGTGTCCCTAAGAACCAATTTACCGAGTTAGAATTGAGGCTTCTTTTATACTAAAATTGGAGGAAGGATGGCTGTAGCAAACTTCTTGGTGTCTGAATCCCTTGTTCTTCCAGCTGTCTGCTTCGGTCTGGTCACAGTGTTCCTACAAACCTCCAACAAGGCAAATGCTATTCTCTGTTCTGCAACTTTTTAATTGAAAAGTGTTATTCCTTTAAAGGTCAGATCCTCGAGAATGGGCCATTCCTCCTGTACATTTCAGGCTACAGGCAACGTTCTTTCTCATAAGGTCCAGAGCCAGCAAGACTAAGCACAGACAACTGAGCACAAAGGTTACAGCTAAAAGAATAGTTTCAATATGGAGTCAGGTTTGTTCTTAATTACACATCTGTGTCTCACTTCTACTGCTGTTGGACATGCTGTTCAAACAGAAACAGAAATCTAGAAATATAGATGCACAGACTGTTAACTCTTGATTATATCTCCTATCACTGATCTCAATTTGAAGATTAGAACTGGGAAGAAATTAAAAGCAGTGGCATCTTTTAGAAGCACTATAGGAATACGGGATCTATGTCTTAATTGTATGTTTTATATACTACTCATCCTCAAGGAATTCTTTTGGCATCCCTGATTATTCTTGGATATTGCACCCTGCTTTAGCAAGTTCAGGCACCCCAACTCTGGGAGGAGGAGCCCAGGACTGAGAGGATCCCTGAGTGTAAAGCTTTATTCTCGAAGCCAGGCTCAGTAAGCCTTGTGGCATTAATGTATGCCACTTTGAGCATGAAAAGGACTGAGTAGTCTAGCAAAGATGTAAACCTCTAGCTCCAGGGAGCATCAATTCACAGAGCCTCCCAAACGTTTAGCACAGTGTGTGTATAATAAGTCACCAGCAGAGGCAGGAGTGATTTCCATCTCTGCCTGCAGGTTCTATAAAGTGCTTTAAACTTAAAATACATCTCAAGTTTGTGCCAGGGTCTGTACGAAGTGCTATAGTTTCATCATCCCATTTAAGATTCATGATACTTTCTAAGGTAGGTTTTAAGGTTCAGTGACTTGTCCAAGATCAGATCACAGAGCTGCTAAGAGGCAGAGGAGGGATTCAAACCCAGGCAGTCTGACACCAGAATGTACATTCTTAACCACCATAATGGACAGCAGTCCCGCTACCATGCCAGTGACCCAAAGGACCACCCTGGAGTATAAGACTCCTTCTCTTGTACCCTCCATCTCTTCCAGCCATCACCGAGACTTGCTTACCCCTCCCTAGCCCTTGCTCTGCTCCCAGCCCAGAGTTAACTGGCCACAGACCAAATGGGCAACTGCTTGCTGATTGAGAGATGGGCCCTGTGCCACTAAGAAATCACCTAAATGCTTCCCGAAAAAGAAAAGCAAAGAGTAAATGATTATTTTGCTCCTGTCCTGATTTAGTACTGTACCCCTCACAGGGTCTAGTATGCTGCCTTGCATTCATTCATTATTCATTCATTCATGTTCAGCTTCCATTCTTTCCACAAACTTAGGCGTTCTGTCCCCCGTCCGGGGGGTATGAATGAAAGCTTCACAAATATTATCACAATTAATAATGTTATTGGTTATCATTAGTACCACTAGTAATAAGTAATCAAATTACTACTTGTAATTGATCATAACAGTGGTACTACCATAATACCTTCATTAATAATAATAATGATGACAATAACAGTAAATATTTGTTGAGCACTTACCATGGTAAGTGCTGTTAATATTAAACTATTTTTAGGGGGGAAGGTATAGCTCAGTGGTAGAGTGCATGCTCAGCATACATGAGGTCCTGTGTTCAACCCTCAGTACCTCCATTAAATAAATAAGTAAACAAACAAACTTAGTAACCCCCCACAAAAAATAATAAAAATTCAAAAAATATAAAAGTATTTTTTTCCTATCTTGAGCACTTCGCTTCTCTTCACTTTATGTGTTTTAGATAAGCCATGTTTAATTCTTACAACAATGGTATAAGGAAATGTCAGAAGTCTCAAACTCTCTCTGCAAGTCATCAGAGCACTGAGTTACTCAGTGTTTTGGCCATAAATTTTTGAAAGAGGATCATTCACCCCTGTGATAACAGGATGTTCAGTGACTCTTTACAACTGTAAACAAGACAGATATGGTCTCTGTCCTGGGAAAGTAACAACAGAACTGCCCTCTAGATGAAAAACATTTTTTTTTCCTTTTACAGAGTGGTTGTAAGCAAAGAGACAAAATTTCCACGGTTCCAGGAATTGACTGGTGGGTTTGCATCTGTAAAAATTTGTTTCTTGCTTGTGCTCTATAATCTCAGTAACATCCAACTACATATCTTTCCCCTTAAGCCTCCTAATATTTTCATGATGTCCTTCAGCCTCTCCTGCTCATGTCCTCTTAATGAATTATTCCTCTTTCAACAGCCTAAGTCAAATATCTTATTAGTGAAGACCTACCAAACAGAACCAACTAGATGCTGGTTCTTCTTGGCATAAAAATGAAAGACTGGATTGCTTCTTCCTTTAGGCTCAGTAGAGCCTTTATCCCCCAGCCCAACCCCCCGCACTAGCCTGTAGATTCCCGGGGATGCAGGAGAGCAGGGACTGTGTCTTATCAGGTTTCCTGCCCAGCTACTGTTACAAGGCCTGTCAAGTATTATTACTGTCTTCACCATTCATTAAACATTATGTGCCAAGGCCTGTGGTCTTTGTTTTCTAGGTTATATCATTTCTATCTCCCAACAAACTTAATAGGGAGGTACCACTGTTACCCATCCTAATGTTTACATATGAGATAAATTTATATATTAAAGCTTAGGAGCATTTTAAAATAATTGGCCCCGAAGTCACATAGCTAGTCAAGTGACAGAGCCAGATTTAGAATTCAGATAATCCACCTACAGCATTTTCCACCACATGTCACATATAACAAGCATATGATCAATAAAGGTTAGCTATTAGAATTATCACCCAAAGTTGGACAGCTGATATAGTTAAAAAGCTGATGTTGTAATGAGGTGGGAAGGCCCATAAGAAGACTGGCGGGATACCCAAGCAGAGCCACTACTATCCTACCAGCACCCTCTGGTTCCCTGGCCAAGAGGCTCTATCTCACTTTTTGCCTCTGAAAGGGCTTACTTCTAGGAGAATGGAACTTACCCCTAAAATTCTATTGGTTCCCTGAGCTCACTACTGATCGGTCCATTTCTGTAACTTCTGATTGGTCCATTTGTAGTACTTCACTTGCATGGAGCTCACTCCATGATTGGTTATTTCTTTCAGTCCTGATTGGTCCATTTCCCTCACTCCTGATTGGTTATTTCTCTCCCTCCTGATTGGTCCATTTCTATAAAGCTTGTTCCTAATTGGTCAACTTTTGTTATACCTTTTTTGCATATGATGTTGCAGAGTGTAAACTGGCAGCCTATAAAAGCCTGTGTGAACCTATAGATGGGGTCCAGAGCTTGGAGCGTTAACTTATCTGGGCCAGCTGGCATAATGAACCTGAGTTTTCCAACTCTCTGAGTGCTGCTTGGTCTCTTGCCCGGATCCAGGTTGCTGTCACAACTGAGCTGTAACACTGAGCTGTAACACACTTTTCTGCAACAGTAACTTGTTTATTTTATGTATTTATTCATTTACTTAGTTTGCTCTAAAATTTACAGCCTTTCTATCAAACTAGAATTTAACTAACAGGACTTCTTAAAAGTCAAAAGAGGCCTAATCTTTCTGAAGTTCCTGCTGTATTTTTTTAAATTAAGAAATATTAAAAGGTTTCAAAAATTCTGATATATTTTTAATGTTTACTTTTAGTATATTAAAGCTGTTCACTTACACAAAAATGTAACTGTATGCATAACCTCCTTTAGACATTAAATTCAAAAAGCAAATTTGATATCCTTCCTGAAAAAGCCTTTCCCAGCTATCTCTGCAATGGGTTCTTTGAATTATAGAAAATGAATTAATACTCTGCTGTTATTGCTGGTTACCTCTCTGGCTACCTTAAGGGATATATCAGTTCTGTTTTCCTAGTGCGCAATGCGTGGGGTCTAATAAACATTCAATAAACACTTCTTGAATGAATCTATAGGCCAGCACCTTGCTTTTGGTTCCAGGCCCACTTACTCTGAAATATTATCGAGAACCACAAAAAGCTTTTATGTGGGATATACCTATCAATATTTACTGTATTAGAACTGAAAACATTGCAATATTAATTTATTAATTCACAAGATAACAATTCACTCATTATATACTAATACAAATAATCCTTTTATAGATAATAACTATTTTCCAAAACAATACAGTGAGAAGAGTGGCATTGTTTTACATTTTTGCAAATCTCTGGCTTAATAGAAGACAGATGGATTCTCATAGCTCCTTCTGCGTTCAATTCCTTACGCTACCACAGGACACATAACCTCTGGAAAAATCGACTGTACATTCATGAGAGGAGTATGGAAAAAGCAGATAACAACTTAGTATGGTTATCAACACTGTATTGATCTAGCGATGGACCCGTTGAAAAATACTTTGAGAATCTTTAGAGGAAAAACTATTTTTGAACGACAAGGTTTAGGCTTCAGGATTCCTCTACATACAGCACATCTATCTTGAGAGAGGTCATTCTGGAGGAGTAAAAGGAACACAGTAGAGACAGCCTTTCTCTTTTCCTTTTCTCCTGTGCTGAGTAACGCAGTGTTGCCGTAACCCAAGATGGCGACCGTCGCTCATATTTCAGTCCGTACGATGACGTCACACAGCGACAGCGACGCCCTCTTTCCCTTAGGGTTTCACTACATTTCCCAGGATGCTTTGCCAACAGTGACGCTATTGGTCGGCGCTGGCGGAAGAGCACTTGACTGAGCGGAAGTGAAGAGTCTCAGACGCTAGGAAGGTGAGGAGGAGACGAGCTGTGGAGCTGTGAGTAACCCGGTGGGTCCGTTCTTTTGCTGGTGAGGGTCGCAGCTAGAGGAAGAACTGTTGGGAAGCGTGGGGTGGGCCCTCCTTAACCCTAGGGCCTCAGACTCCTGCCTTCTTCCACTGGACCTGGAAGCGGGGAGAAACAAAAAACACTGCTGTGGAGGAGAGGTCTCCGTATTCAAATCTTGGTGTTTTTAAGTTTTCTTGGGACAAGCTGGGGCAAATTGTCGCGACTCAAGGGTCGTTGGCGTGTTTTGTTGAGAGCGGAGAGGCAGGGCTGCTGACGGTGTGACTCAGCTTCTACAGTAGCGGTTCTCAATTGGCTACACATGAAAATCACCTGGGATGCCTTTTTTAAAAATAGTGATGTCCTGGCCAGACGCCGGACCAATGAATCAGTGAGGATAAGACCTGCGCAGCAGTACTTGCTAAAGCGTCCCAGGTGTTAATGCTGTGCAGCCAGGGTTGAAAACCACGCTTTTAGTGGTTGATTTTGACTCTCTCGGGGATCCTGATTAGGGCCACCTGCGTCAGGGCTCCCATTCCGCCGTAACCTACGTGTTGTCTATCACAGGCATTTGGGTGTAATTGATGATTACTCTTCTGGCACAAATTGCATTTTGAGCTCCACCAAAAATTCTTGACCTTCCTGTGGTGGTGCTGGAAAGACAGGCCATAGTTTCTTACTTACCATTTGGCTATTCATTCTGAATAAAGGTTAGGACTGCTTCATTTTTCTTGCCATTGTTTTCGTTTCGGTCTATTTTTTTTTGCTACCCCGACAAACTGGGAGCAGTGGAAACGGAAGAGTCACATTAAAATCGGCCTCTTTTGTTGCTTATAAGAAGTTCTGAAAAGGGTATCATTTAAAATTACATTTGGCGTTATTTATGGGCTTATGATTACCTCTCTATATATAATGTATAATTATATATGTAATGAATTCAGTGAAAGGAAGTTGAGGTGTGATTTGAGCTTTGATTCAGAAGTTTGTTCAGGTTTGATAGGTTAGATCCCATTACCTAAAACACGTTTTCTCTTTCCCAGTTTCATCTTCACCTCCGTCACTGATTGAGCATGGAGGAGAAGTCAAAAAACTGTAGGGTTCCAGAGGATCTGTTTAATGGTTTGAAAGTTACAGATCCCCAGGAAGCGGAGGGTGCTAGCCCTCCAGTTTCTAATGCCAAAGATCACCATTCTCAGAGCAAACTGCTCCAGGATGTTGAGACCCATCCTCAGGAGGACCAGGGAGAAGAGGAGTGCTTTTATGACCCCAGTGCCTCATTTGAGAAGGAGGAGCCAAGAGTGGACGAGGTTGAAAACAAACCTGAAAATGATGTGAATTCCTCTGAACTAGATGAAGAGTATCTAGTAGAACTGGAAAAAAACATGCCCGATGAAGAGAAAAAGGTAAATATTTTCTTTATTGTACGTGATCTGCTACATAAACTGCTTCTTCAAGTGAATAAATGTGTCTGATACTGCTTCATAGACTGCTTCATCTGTGGTAAAGAGTGACTTGCCAATCTTTGACCTTACTGCTTTAATAGAAATGAATATGAGATGAATCAGTAGCCTTGAGTGTTTCTACTTAGCAAAGAAATTTCCCTTTTTTATGTGAATTTTGAGTTCTTATGTTCATCCTGTGTCATTGTTTCTAACATGTATATAATATACCTTTTGCCTTTTTTTTTTTTTTAACAATCTTATCTATGGTCGTCTGCTGAAATTCCTGTAGTGGACGTTTTTTAGTCAGACTTTAGAACTATGGTATGCTGCCTGCTTTATGTTAATTCTTTGTTAACAAAAAGTGACCGCCTGGATATCCTGGTGGGGATTTGGTTACAGAGAGCAGTGGCTGGGACCTGGATCACTTACATATCATTCTTGAGGAACAGAATTGTGTGTGATAGTGGCTATCATTTGTTAAACATCTATATCATGCCAACCACTGAGCTTAAAATGTTACTTGTGTTTTCATTTAATGTTCACAACACGTCTACAAGACATAGGCTGTTAGCATTCCCCATAAGAGAACAGATCTTAGAGTAGTAACTTGCCTAAAGTCACGTATCTAATAAATGGCAGAACTAATTCTCAAACCCAGATCTCTCTGATTCCAAAGTATAATGTAGAATTTAACAAAAACAGCTATCTTCCTACAAAGTAGATACATGAATAAAATATACACGATCCTTTGCTTTGCCCTTGCACAAGTGACTAAGCAAGCCTTCACTTTGGGAGACAGAGGCTTGGTGACCTCCATGTATCCTTCCTCCTGATCTCATAAGCAAGGTTGCCTGAAGAGTCACCGTAGTAACTGAGTTTGTCTGCAGAGAACTTGAATGAGGTTTGTAGCTAATGCCTTTGAACAGCTCACACGCCGAAAGGACTGAGATGGTAAATGTGCAGTGTAAGAGTGGGGGATGGGGAAGAAGTGGGAGGTGAGGAGGAGCATCTTGTCTTTGTCCCTCCTTAAGCAATTTTCATTGTCAGATCTGCTGGTTTTAACATGCATGTGTTAGCTTTTGTGCTAGTCTGTGCCACCAGCAGAGAAGGATAAAGGGCAAAAAGGAGCCAAGTTCATAACTACCTTAGCAGAAATGACTTGGAAAATTAAATCAAGTATCGTTCAATAACATTAGGGAAACGGTTTTCCAGGAAGTGAGTGTTTGGTTCATTTTTCGTATCACTGGTGCAGGCTTTTTAGAAACCTTGATTAAGCATCTGTGTTATAATGTTAGCAATACTTTTCTGATACCTTAATATGTTTTGCCCTGATACAGTGAATTTTTTCCATTGCCATCGGTTTGACAATTGAGTGGTTTGCCTCATAGTGTTACGTACTCTGCTCCCCATTCTCATTATAGAAGAACTGTTTTTTTCTTTTGGTCTCCTAGCGAGGAAATTCTAAGTTCTATAAATATTTGAATTAATTATTTTGATGCTTATTAATTAAATATTATAAGTAGCATAATACTTTTAAAACTTTTGCTTCCTTTTAAAAATTAGGGTGTCACTTCTATATGATGAAACTGTTTTAAGTTCTTATGTGTTCAGTTCATAGAGTTTTAACAACTGTATACACTTGTGTCATTCACACCAATTGTAGTATTAGCTATTTTTATGCCGTTTTTGATACATATTTTTGTGAAATTACTAGGAAATATGTCTCTTCACATAGGGTTTGGTTTTATAGGTCATCAGGAACAGAGTATCTTTAAGCTTGATTCTTTTAAAATAGACAGAATTCAGGTAATTAATTCAACAACAAAAATAAATACAAATGGCCACAAAATGTGAAGACTTTCAGCCTCACTAATAATTTTTATATGCACATTAAAACGTTCTGTCTTATTTCGCAGCACAAAGCACTGATATGATATTGACAAGAAAATGATGTAGGAACTCATGTACTAATATTGGGAGTTTGAATTGCTGCCTCATTTCTATGGGATATAGATATCAGAGTTTTGTATGAGCATTTCTTTAGATCAGGGCTATCAATAGAACCTTCTGTAGTGATGGAAATGTTCTGTTTCTACACTGTCCAATATGGTAACCATTGGCTACCACATTTTTAAATCATCTGGTTGTTGAACAGTTGAAATGTGGCTAATACAGCTGATAAGCTGAATTTTTCAATTTTTTAATTTTAGTCACACATGGCTAGTGAGTACCTTATTGGATGGTACAACTTTAAACTTCTGATTCTCTTCTAGTCATTTACTTTAAGGAAGTTACTAAAGATACATGTAGACGTATATAATAGAGATATGTTGCAGGATCATTCATAACTTTGGAAAACTAGAACTAATGATGAACAAAGGGGAATACTTTAAACATTTTTGGCATATCTGTGTGGTAGTGTGCAATATAGTCGTTAAAAAGAAAGATATATCTTAGTATTGACATGGAAATAGGCCCATAGTTAAATGAATTAAGCAAGTGTGATAAATGATTTACAATAAATATATATTTGGTGTTTGTCCAGCTCCTGACCTAGAGTTCCTAAAACCTTTGTAATTTCCTAAGTGAAAAGAGGTAAAGGTATATTTTGTTATTCATAACAAGCCCCTTTGAAACACATCTGAGTTACTGTTAATGAAGTGACTTCTGGAAAGCCCCTAAGGATGAAGTCTGGTTGTCAGAATTTGAAGCTCTCAGCCCCACCTCGCTCTGTCCCCACCTCTGGGGAGGGGAGAGGGGCTGGAGGTTGAGTTAATCACTGATGACCAATGATTAATCAATCGTGTTTACATAATGAAGCTTCCATTAAAAACCCAGAAGGATGGGGCTCAGAGAGTTTCAGAGTTGGTGAACATACGTGCGTTCTAAGGTGACACATCCAGAGGGCATGGAAGCCCAGTGCCCCTTCCCACATACCTTGCCCTATGCGTCTCTTCTATCAGACTGTTCCTGAGTTATATCCTTTATAATAAAGTGGTAATCTAATAAATAAGCTCTTTTCCTGAATTCTGTGAACCGCTCTAGCAAATTAATTGAACCCAAGGAGGTGGTTATGGGAACCACCAGTATATAGCCCATGGGTCAAGAGCAGTGGTGACAGCAGTAGTGTAGATGGACTTGGAGGACATTATGCTAAGTGAAATAAGTCAGAAAGACAAATACTGTATGATATCACTTATATGTGGTATCTAAAAAATATAACACACCAGTGAGTATAAGAATAAAGAAACAGACTCACAGATACAGAGAACTAGTGGTTGTCATTGGGGAGAAGGAAGGAGGGAGGGGCAAGATAGGGGTAGGGGATTAAGAGGTACACACTGTTATGTATAAAATAAATAAGCTACGGAGGTATATTGTACAACACGGAATATAGCCAATATTTTATAGTAACTATAAATGGAGTATAACCTTTAAAAATTGTGAATCACTGTGTTGGACACCTTCTATATAACTTACATAATATTGTACATCAACTTATATAATACTGTACATCAACTGTACTTGAATAAAAAAGAAAAAATATATAAACCAAAAAAAGAGGCGACACCCTGGACTTGCAGTTGGCATCTGAAGTGGGAATGGGGCCAGACGTGTGGGACCGAGCCTTAACCTGTGGGATCTGACACTGTCTCCAGGTAGATTGTATCAGAATTGAGTTAAATGGTAATTCACCAGCTAGTGTCCACTGTGGAGCTGGAGTTGCTTGATGTGGGGGAAACTTCCACACATCTGGTCACAGAAGTGTTCAGAGTAAGTATTGAGAGTAGAGGAGACAGAGATGTTGTCCCTTTACAGCGTATTATAAAAGTGACAATTCCTTTTAAGTTAAAAACCTATGTGAAAACACGTTTATACATGAAAGTTTAGAAGGAGAGACACCAAATTGTAAAAAGTGAGTAGCTTTGTGGAGTGTGATTATTGGGCAATTTTTACTTATATTTAATACAATTTTGTAACATTTGCCTTTTTTTATAGTAAGCGTGTGATACATTTATAATTAACAACAAAAGAAGTTATTACAGTTTGAGAATATAAATAAATAAAAATGAATTCTTTACAACCAGGCTGGACTTTTTGCTAAAAAAAAAAAAGCACATAAAGCTGACCTTTGAGGATTCAGGAAAGATTTGCTGTCATAGGGTCTGTATTGCCAAATGTACCTAGTATCAATAGCTAAACTGTGTTATTCAAGCTGACTTGACTTGCCCTGTGGCTTAGAAGATAATCTGGCCACAAGTGGGTGCCAGCTCTCAGCAGAACTCATAAATCAAGGATGATGGAAGAGGAAGGCAGTTAGGATTTGGTTGAGACATCTCTTAAGGAAAGCACTGTGTATGTGTGTGTGTGTTTCAGCAGCAGTCTGAACTATTTGTGAAAACTTAAATGTAGACTTGACTACCCAGAGGAATGGGATTTTATCCAACATTTGACATGTACTAGATCTGCACAGGAAATAAGTGATTCTGAAAGCTTGGCTGAGGTGGCACACCTGGTAGCAGATGAGGATTATTGCTGTAATAAGGTTGTGATACAAAGATGCTTATAGTTTTTGTTGGTGTATAGTTGCTCACAGTATCCTCTTAGATGCTTTTAGTTTGGGAACATATAGAATATACTGCACTGTGGGCTGCTTGCCAAAGTGGAGCTCTGAGGCCACACGCATAAATTCTCTGGGTTCTTGTGCACACACTGAAGTTTGAGGACCACTGTCATAGGGCCTTGTGCATAGTCTTCCTTCATTCAGTAGCTGAATAAGGTTATCTCTTCCCTGAGGGCCAGTAATTGGTCTTGCAAGTTACAGAAATTTTGTCTCATTCATTTATTCAAGAAATGTTTGAGTTTCTTCCACATGCCAGGCATTGTTTGAGGTGCTTAGGAATACAGTGGTGAAGAAGACAGGATTTCTCATCTCTCATAGGTACATTCTGATTGGGAGG